TTCCAGCAGTAACAACTATGGCTGGATAATTCTAAGCTTTTACCTATTTCAAAATAGACACCCATAAGTAATTAACTTCAACATTTTCATTGATGATCTGTGAGATGGATTTATGTCAGTTAAACTGAAACAAGATACATTGGCACTCACATTATCAACTGGTGAATATGATTTCATGTAAAAGTAGAACTCTTCTTTCCGAGGATCACCCCATTCCTGCAATAGAGCAAGTCATTCACATTTAGAAAGAAACATACTAATATTATCATAGCATCCGGCTTTGAGTTTCCAAAACAAAAAATATTATATATAAATCACCTCCCATTCTGCAATTGTAAGAGGAATAGTTGGACCAAGCATTGTAGTCACAACATCTACAAATGGTACTCCAGCTACAGTAGCCTTAAATAAATCAGGTCTCATGTTCACAACAGCACCAATAAGCAACCCCCCTGCACTTCTTCCATTAATGGACAACTTTTCTTTTGTACAATATTTCTTTTGGTTTGAGAAGTTTGAGTTTCACCTATGTCGTTGGGTGATTGAAGGCGTCGAGGCTGCATTTTCTTCTTAGAGAGAGGGAGGGCAAGAAAGTAAACACAAACTTCACAGATTATAGAGGTTATCAAAACCAGTAAGGGGAACACCAATGAAAAATCCAATGGATTATTGAGAGAAAAAACTGATTTTTGTTTGTTTAAAAGCTAGCGAAGTATCAAGAAATTTCCAATCTAGGATAATTCAGAAAGCAGATAGATAGGTACCTATTTTGACTAGAACCGCAACTGGACTAGGGTTTGTAAATTTAAGGAGTCGTTGTAGATGGAGTAGGGTAGAGGTGAAGAGGAGTTCAGTTACGAATTTTATGTTGAGATTATTGTGTCTAAATTTCGCCATAAAGATACGATCGAGAGAGAATGGTCTTCGATTTTTGGAAGGAAGCAAGGCTATTACAGAGAGGGGGGATTAGACTCACATGGAGATCTAAGGAGAGAGTGAGTGGTCTTCGATCCGATCGAGAGAGAATCATCGCCATAAAGATACGATCAAGGAAAATCGTCTTGAGAGGGGAAATTATTTGGGAAGAACTTGAAGCATTTGAAACCCTAGACCTTGATTCGATGTAACTTGACAGTAGACATTGTGTAGATTGATAGATTAAAGACCTGGAGCGATCCCTTGTGATGAAAGCTGCGCGATTACAGAGAGTCCTTCTTGACCGGATCCAAAGATTCCGTCAATGGCTCTATCGGGTTTGGTTAAATCCCCAGTTTGGAATGTGCTACATCTGGTTCATGAACTTGCCAAGTTAATTAGGGTTTTTTTTAATGAAAAATGAAAGGGGTTAATGGATTAGGATGATGTTGTACCTGAGAAAACAAAGAAAAAGAAGGAGACCTCGCAGATCAATTACGATTCACCTTCGAGGTTTACAGAGAGACGGGAGGTAGAGAATGAAGAGAGATCTAGAGGAGAGAGTATCTAAGAGGGGAGAGTGGATTGCAAGGATACAAAATATATAGAAGATAGAAAAAACAAGGCGGGTTTTCAAAATTTTGGGGATTTCGTTTCCCCCTTCATTAACTAAAAGCGCGTTTCATTAAAATTATAAAGCGACATGTACAGACGACGCGCGTTTAAGATAAAGCGCCCTCCGTGTTTCTAATTTTTTTTCTTGAGACACTAAATTAAGGGCACGCAATAATGCGTGACGTAAATCCTTAAATTTTTTGGAGAGATGACACTATTTTAAGGGCACGTCCTATTGCGTATCGTTAATCAGCGCGTGTCGTAAAAAGCGCGTCATTAAAGGTCTATTTTCTAGTAGTGAAAGTATCAAATCTTTATGTAAGACACTATGAATCGTGTCCCATACGCTTCGAGTATAGAATCGATTGCAAATGCTATAATATTTGACCATTCTAAAATTTTCCAATGTCTAGCGCATTTAGAGGGAAAAAGGATAAGAATCGGTTTTGACTAAGATAATTAAACAACTATCAAAGGACAATCCAAAGTTCGCTGAGGATTGGTCGCTTATGAGTAGTTGGAAGTATAGTATTGGATGGAGTATATCAACATTTTTATGAATAGATAAGATTCTATTAAGAATGAGTAGTGATATGGTAAGTATGGAAAGGTTTCCATATTGGGAGTTAGATATTGAGAATCTATGTCTAGATTAGAAACTTTATGCAAAAGGATGTTCAAAGAAATGTACTTTGAATGAGAGACATCACATCTATGGAATTGTCTTGTAACAATTTCCGATAGAGAACTTTGTAATTCATTGGCAATAGTCATTGTAACTTTAGTGCAATGACATTACAAAAGGATCTTTGCATAAAATGTTAGAATCTAACATATTCTATAAGTGGCAAGAATTTGATATTCTTACACTTATGAAAAAGGATTTGGAGTTGTGAAATGAGTATGATTGGAAATGTGTTCATTTGATCTATTTCACAAAGTAAGAACCATAGGTAAACATTGTGTGCATGCTGAGAGCATAGGACAAGTGTTATAATTCAAGTAAGAAGTTGATTACCCGAAACGACAAATAATGAGTAATCGATATGGTGATAAATAAAAGGTGTTTTATTTATACTCAAGGGTTTGGGGCCATATGGGATTAGTATTATCCTTGTGTTTCACTTTGCATGTTTTGACTTCCTGAATAATTTAATTGGTTAAGAATAGTCAAATTATTCGAACGGGCCACAGTCGTTCATATGTTGGAAGTAGGTATGAATGAAGACTGTCATGAATTGGTGTGTGATTGTCTAAAAGAGTATTAGACATAAGCAAATGTTTGCTGCAACATTCATGAGTGCTTATGAATATGATTTGAGCATTGGATTAAACCCACGCTCACTTGGATCACTTCATGGATTTTATCACGAGTGATTGGTGAGACGATAACATCTTATATTCTTGAAACCGAGATGTGTGAGTTGTATCTTGCAAGTCGGTTGCACATTGATAATATGTAAACGCACTAGTAACTTGGTGTTATAAAACATATTGTTGTGTGTGATTCGGTGAGTGAGTGCAAGCGAGCATTGAGTCAAAGTTTATCCGTTCCTTTTATCCAAAGTAGGATAAAAGCGATATCTTTGGGCCCTCGATGATTTAGTGATGATAAACGTAAATGCTCGACCGGGCTAGGGCTAATTTGATTTGTTCAATTAGTCAGTCGTCATAAATCGGAAATCGAGAAATAGTACAGAAAGAATGATTTGAAATCATATCTTATACGATATCTAGAATGGAGGAATATATGATCCCTTATCTAAAGGACACGCGTATCTGATAGGATCAGAGTTGACAGCGGCTTTGGAAAGCTACGATTGCAGATCAGGATCTGAAGTCATACATAGAATAGTTATTAGACTTATCCAAGTGGGAGACTGTTGGATTAGTGTCTAAGTCCATAACTATTTTGGTATGTACTTGACCCGATGGTGCATGGTCCTTTTGGGTTGCCTTCACCAAAGCAACTTGATAGGATGAATTATGGAGAGAAAGGATTAAATATGATTTATTAATATATTATGGGAATAATATATTAAAGGAGAAATCATATTGTTTAATTAATATTAGTCAAGAATTAATAAGAATTAAGTTTGTGACTAAAAGAGATTAATTAAACTTAAGGGACTGGAATTGTAATTATAAGATAATTGCAATTGGGCTATGGATTACCTTATTATATAAGGTTGGACGAATTCTATGGGGAAACCCATAAGAAATCATCCAAGGGCTTTAATTAAAAGAATCCATGGGTTGCTTAGTGCTTAAGCATCCAAATTTAGCTTTCCTTGTTAGATAACCCTAATGGCCTCACTATATATAGAACCCTTAAGCCCCAAAAACGTGGTGAACTTGTTCTCTAGGGTTTTTTAACGGTTTTGGGCAGCCTCTTTCTCTTCTCTTCTTCATCCTCTTGCTCTTGGTGTTTGTGAACCATTAGAGGAGTGACATTTGTGACTCTAAGCTTTCTAAATTCATTACAAGGAGGATTTGTGATTGTTATTGCTACATAACAATCAAGGTAATATCTTAAACCCATTATTATGTTATATTGATTATCATATGCTAGATCTAGGGTTTATAGTCTTGGATAAATTGCATGTACAATAGAGAAACCTAGATCCGAGCATTAGGGTTTGTATGAGCACATAGGATGTTCTTATGACTAAAACCCATCACTATAAACTCTAGTCACGCTCCCTATCTAAGATATTCTGGTTACAGAGGCGGTCCTCCACTCGCATATCTCTGTGGAGTGTTCTCCGAGGACGTGTCTCCAACTTATAGGAATAACAAATCTACAAGTAATAATGCGGAAAATACTGTTTAAATTCTATTTACAATTACGATCCTCCACTCACGTATCTCTGTGGAATGTTACCGAGGACAAAACAAATGTACTAATCTACTACTTTTAACAATAATTTTAAGGAACAAATCATTTGTGAAATATATATTATAACATTATATAATAAGATATGAAATCGGTTTGTAAACTGATTCTGCAAGGTAAACAGTTGGTTAATACAGTTTCAATTGTTAAAAGCAAGTGGAATATGAAACATTTCAATTGAAATAATAAGTTTAAGCACAAGATATTCTTGTACTTTTGCTTGTATTCCCCCCTGTAAACATTGAAAAACATTGAAAAAGGATAGGGGTATGAACTCACCGGACGAGGAATGTGTCGACTAGGATGCTAAACGTCGGATCGAGGCTTGAAAACGTGCAAGGTTCCTATGTAATATTAAATGATATACAAATGTATCTAATTATATTTTAAATCACTAATTAGTTGAGGGTATACACTTCTAGTCACGAAAACACTTCATTTCAAGTGTTTGGAGTGACCCGTGTGACATCTATGGACATATATGGTTTGGATATGGAGTTTACTCTTCAAGAGTAAACTCCCAAGAGAGTTCACGACCCTAATGACCCACTGCCCATGAGTTTACGGACGTAAACTCATGGTGGGGTGTTCTAGAAGGCTAAATGGCCTTATATCATTTTAGAGGTGATGCTAGATTTGGTTTCAAGGCATTTGAGTGAAATTTGAACATGATAGGGACCAATTGAGGAGTTTACAGCAGTAAACTAAGTGTTTAAGGCTGTAAGCTTCCCCACACACCTTCATTTGATGTTTTGGTGGTCTTAAGTCAATCATATGTGATTCAACTCATTTTTACAAGTCAATGGGTGAATTTAGGGTACCATTTAACCCATTTATAGGATTTTACAGCCCAGGAACCCATTCTTGGGGGGTTTACGGCTGTGTACATCTAAAGGAAGGGTTTTCATCAAGTTTAAGGCTTCTAATTTGATTGTGGTTGCTTCTAGTTATTAGTTCAAGGCTTAGGAGGTCTGTAAGTGGCATTTTAACACCTAAAAAGGAGTTTACTACCCATGATATGGAGTTTACGGCCCAAGCATGTTCTTGGGCAGTAAACTCATGTTTACTCCCCAAATGTTGAGTTTAAGGTGTTCTAAGTCCAATCCAATAAGTCCTTAAGTCATATCTAAACTCCAATGCTATTTTGGAAGGGTTTTAAGGCTCAAAAACCCCATTTATATGTGTTCACTACCCAAGAGTGTTCCAGGGCCGTAAACACATGTTTATGGTCCTAAGTCATGATTTAAACACGAAATTGAAGGCTAAGGATGCTAATCTATGAGTTAGGGTAGTTACCTTGGTGATTTGAAGCTTGATTTGGATGATTTTTGGACCTAGATCTTGGATTGAGGAGAGAGGTTAGAGAGAGTGTGAAAAAGGCTTCAAATGAGACTCATTCCACTTTATATATGGTTCGGGTTTGAGACACGGTGGAATTCTACCCGATACTGACGTTAACCGAGGCTTTTGGTCGCACCCGATTAAGTTGTCGTAACCCGATATGGTCGAAACTAAAATTTTTCTAATTACTAGTTTGGGGAGTTTACTTGCGTTATAACGTGTTTGGATACTTACGAGGTCAAAATAAAAGTCCTACATTAGTTGACCTAATCCAAAAACGAAATCGAAACAATTTGCTAATGACAAATTTTACGGACGAAACGGGTTACGGCGATGGAACAACTTCGGGTTGTCACAATTGGTGACTCCCAATGTCTTGGTGTGGCTATTCCACCAGGACAATGATGCATCTGCAAAGGTGCAAGCTACGAACTTCACCTTACTCTCCTCAGTACATAAACTAATGTCAAAAATAGATTCGGTCATCTCAATCCACCATGTGAGTCCTAAGACTCCTTCAATTACATAAAAAATTGTGGGCTTGTAGTTCATAAAATCCTTATATGTACAAGCTCTAGGAAGACCTCGATTATCCCCTTTAGAGCTATCACCTCCCGTCCCTTGTCCAGATCTAGTGTCACGGTTGTCTTTGAAACTTGGCATGGCATCACGGATGCGTTGTACTACTAAGGCTTTTATGGCTATTGAGTCCATAAGGTTGGTGTTTTCAGTCAATTGATCATCTTCGTCTGGATGGGGTCTAGGGTTAGATATGGTGATTCTTGTGGGCACCATTTTCTTGATCCTAAAGTTAGTGGTCGAGATATGTGTTGGTTGATTGTATTCCCTATTAGTAGTTTCAACTTGTATAGGTATTACATTTGTAAGAGTTAGCACAATTTGTAAGAATCCGTTTACAAATTTGATGTTTTGCAGGAGAATAACTACAAACTTCGATTAGGTGCTTCAACACAAAAGTGTGAATTTTTCATTTGTTGGTGGAAATAGTGAAACATCGTCATTATCCTATGGTTTATGGGTTGTTAAAGTTAGCTTTGGTTCTACCTATCACGACCGCAACAATCGAAAGACGTTTGATGGTGCACTTGTACTTTTATTTTTTTATGTTATTATATTTGGTCGGAAAAAATAATGTCACTGATGTTGTAGGTTTATGTGTGTGTCACTATTAATCTACACTTCTACACTATCAGAATGTCACCAAGTTTCAGGTTTTCCAACTCTAATGTGGAGGTTCAACCCAAATACAATCATTATATTCATTATATATATATATATATATATATATATATATATATATATATATATATATATATATATATATATAACTAGTTTTGTTCTTTTTATTATGATTTCCTAAAAACAATAATTCTCAATTAAATGGTAAAATGTTATTTTCATAAAATAATGTTTTTACAATTAAATACAAGTGTTGATAATATTTAATAATAATTAAATTACTATAATAATTAATCAATTAGTAGTAATTTGCTATAATGTATAACCCTATATGATCATATTTATTAGTAATATCATTCTATAATAACTCTTATATATAAAGATTTCAATACTTTTTTGGAAGATTAAGTGGAAATTTAGTGCCTTTTCTAGTCTATGATAGAAATGAAGAAATGGGAGATTATATTGGAGGCTATTACTTATAGTAGTTGTTCTTTTCGAAAGTTTTATAGTGTCTTTTTGTTTAATGTAATCAAGGTTGTAGAACTCGTTACTCAGTACCTGCTCGGCCGACTACCGAGAGGCGAGTACTCGGGGAGTACTCGGATTCGGTAATTCATGTAGAAATATTTTTAGGGACATTATATATGTCAAAATGATAAGCTGATAGAAATATATAACAAAATTAGATACATGTGAATACATAAAAACTAAAAAAACACATAATGATCTCACTTCGTGAATAATTACTGAAAATTTAAGAGATATACATGTAGTAATAATCACATGTGAGTTTGTTAAATAATAAATCATTAATTATATTATGCATATTAATCACCGAGTTGATCGGGTTTACAATATTGCTCAGTTCAAAAAGCGGCCGATCGGGGAGTACTCGTGATTTTGCAACTCACCTCGGTAATGGGCCGAGTAGCGAGTACTCGAAGTAATCGGCCAACTCGGCGAGTTTTACAACACTGAGTGCAATCAATGTTGTCTTGTAATGTTTTCCAAACTTCAATGGTATTTACTATCTAGTTAAGTACAATGTTATTTCAGACATATTTTTTAGAGACTTAGAATGTTTTTTTTCAAGTTAAATTCCATCAAATAAAAAGAGTGTTCTAAAAAATGTCAAAAAAGCACAAATCTAAGTTTTCCAAAAAGTCCCAAGACTAGTTAAGAGATTTTTAAGAAAGTATAATGTTGTTTTTGATGTTAAAATCCAGGAAATATGATGAGTAGTCCAAAAGCTATAAAAATCGAAAACATTATTTTTCTCAAGTTCAATGTATGTTATTTAATAAAGTACAATGCTATTTCATACATAATTGTTAAATATAGAAGAACATCATTCTAGGTTTTTAATTCCAACCTTTTTCATTTAAGACAACAAGTTCATTGCTATTTAGGGCTTACAACTCGAGAAGGAAAACATAATATGTAGCCTTCACTTGCAGCTTTGCCTTACGTTTTCCTATTAACCCTAGGTTTTATTTCCATTGTAATAATTTAAGGGCATTTATGTCTTTGCATAGTTTAGTGGATTATTTATGTTTTTAGGTGGTAAAGTAGGTTACTAGAAGGTATAAGTAGTTTGGGGGGGGGGGGGTCTTAGACATTTACTTATTTGGTTCAGTTGAACTCATTTAGGAGAGCCTATACTTTTTAAAGACAGAACTGTAATGAAACTGAAGAGCCATAAGCAAAAAATTCAAATCCAACCAAGAAGTCTAGTTACCCCAATTACATGAATAGGTAGGTACTCCTTATGGTTTACAAGAAAGCATGTTACATGAGTTCTTCAAAAGAATAATCACTTTGACATTTGCCATTATAATCTATTACAAAAAGTACTTAGCTTTGGTACCCCAACTAAAAACCATTTCCATAAATGTGACTTCATGCCAATCTAAATCGAGTTTCGGATTTTCCCCCTTAAATTCAAAAAACTCAACCCTTTTCACATCTGGAGTCATCTTTCTCCTTACATCACCTTCATGCAACTCCCACTCTTCCGGCCCATCAAATCTCTAGATCATATCAAATAAAATCATAAGCTTATTTGGTTCTTAGAAATTTACTTATTTGGTTCAGTTGAACTCATTTAGGAGAGCCTATACTTTTTAAAGACAGAACTGTAATGAAACTGAAGAGCCATAAGCAAAAAATTCAAATCCAACCAAGAAGTCTAGTTACCCCAATTACATGAATAGGCAGGTACTCCTTATGGTTTACAAGAAAGCATGTTACATGAGTTCTTCAAAAGAATAATCACTTTGACATTTGCCATTATAATCTATTACAAAAAGTACTTAGCTTTGGTACCCCAACTAAAAACCATTTCCATAAATGTGACTTCATGCCAATCTAAATCGAGTTTCGGCTTTTCCCCCTTAAATTCAAAAAACTCAACCCTTTTCACATCTGGAGTCATCTTTCTCCTTACATCACCTTCATGCAACTCCCACTCTTCCAGCCCATCAAATCTCTAGATCATATCAAATAAAATCATAAGCTTTTCATGTGACGTGCGGAAATTCGAACAAATGTTTTTTATTCTTGAAATAACTAATCATCAGCTCAATTGTGTTTTTTTATATAATAGGATAATGTGAAGGTCCCCACTTTAAATCCTTTTAATATTGTATCTAGGGTTCATGAAAATTCTGTCTAAAGACCATCTGAGATGTTTTATATGCAAAGAAGCTTTGAAGAAAACCTTTTACCAAATCGCAGTCTCCCAAAAAGTCAACATAGGTCAAATGTAGAACCCTAAGTGCCGGGAACCCCATAGTATTAGACACCGGTAGACAACGAAACCTCAAATTCAACCTTAATACCTCCAAGGAGCTGCCTGTCACAAGACAATTGGGCATCTCGACATCTTCATTTTCCTCCTCAGGGGAAAACATTAATTGAAGTTGTTTGACGTTTCTTGTAACAGCCATGTGAATCCACCGCCCTACTGTCGACATAGTGTAGTTATCAAAACAACCCAAATAAAGACATTCCAAATCGACGGATTTGGTTGCTAAAACCAAGTACACAAACTCTTTGAATCCGTCTTTTTTTTTTTAATTTGTCTTCTCTATCAAATCGGTAAAATAAGTTTAAAGATGGAATTGCAGTCCACAAATTCCCCCATCGTCTGGACAAAATGCTGGTTCGAATCACTTCTTCTATAAAGGAAATATGGGAAAGAATCAATAGAAGAATAGAATCCGGCATGTTACTAATCAAATCGACACCGTCTTCGCATTTTGATGCCTTTGGTGCCTTGGATTTCTTCATTATTATGGAGATGTGAATAGAAGAAGTAGCCAAGAGACTCAAACGAATCTCAAATCACCACGTTTTCAGTTGATTTCTCTCTTGGGTCGCTCATAGCTCCTACATGTTCTGTTATCGCGCCAAAGGCGTACTCTTATCGCGCCAAAATTAATCTTTGGGTTACATGGGAGTGGTTTTGGGTAATTTGGGTGATCGGTTCATCTTTTATTTTTTTTTATTTTTTTATTTTTTTTATTATTATTATATTATATTACTTTTAGATGTTTGTTGTTTTGTTTTTTACGATCTTTCATCTATACTTTTAAAAATATTGTTTTAAATTAGTTTTAATAATTATTTCAAATTGTTATTATTATTATTATTATTTAAAAATAATAATAATAATAATAATAATAATTAAATAAATGGATCCACCTCCTTCAATCTAATGAAATCCAAGTACCCAACCCAACCTAACCCCTCTATCTTCCCCCTCCTCGTACCCTCTTCTTTTGGTAATCCTCCATTCAACTACAACCAACCCTTTTGTCTTCTCTAGCAAGACCGTAGACAAATCACCACAAAAGGTGGAGGAAGTCGGAGAAACCAAAGAGTCTGATGTTGGCACCCCCTGTCGCTTACCCTTCCCATTTATTCCTTACTATTGACACATTATATAAAAAACACGAACATCCTTCTTCTTCCATTAAAATTGGTGATTTATAGGATGAAGGCTGTTGAAATCCCCCATAAATAGAAGACGTATATCCCCCTTGCTTATCTGGTGTTTGCTTAATCTTTCCTTCTACGGAAACCGTTGAAACATCATCATGGTTTGGTGTTATAGTGATAGGAGATGTTGGATCCGGTTGAAGGGATGTCGGAGAGGAGAAGACGCAAGTGATAATGGTGATCAGGTTCTATCGTGCAAAACCACTACATCAATATTCTTTCATTTTAATTTTTGAATATGATAGTTTAGACAAAAAAAACAATAAAAAGTAAATAAATAATAAAATAAAATAAAATAAAATCCCAAATCTGGAACTCAACGAAATACAACATAGCTAGGTCACAAAAATGAATGACTTCTTTTTCTTGCTTTCACGTGGATTCTTGGAACACTGGCCGCGACTTCTGGAACATGAATTGAAGATGTGTTTTTGAAAAAGAAAAAAAAAGATTTTATGGAGGTTTGTTAGAAATTAGGTTTTGACCTTTTTTCTGGTTGAAATCAGTTTTTTTTAGATTGAAATCGTACATTTTTTTCTGGATTTGTTTTAGGTTTGTTAGAAATCTGATTTTTTTTTTCCTTGGGATTTTTTTGGTTGAAATCATTTTTTCCTTTTATGTATTTGATGCAAGTTTGTTAATAATTAGGTTTTCATCTTTTTTTATCTTTTTCTGGTTGAAATCAAGTTTCAGTTCGATCAATATCTTTTTTGGAGACGTGGACGGTGAAATAGCAAAGAAGACGAAGGTAAAGTTAGAGGAGATGAGTTGGAGGTGATGAGTGGGGCCCATTTAATATTTATAGATATATAAACTAAAAAATAATTTATAAACAATTAATATAAAGATAAAAAAATTGGACAAGGGCATATTAGTCTTTTTAACTCAATCATGGACCAAAAGCGAAACCAATCCAAACCAGAAAGTTGGCCCGAGTGAAAAAAATGTTAGAGATCAAACATACAAATTACCTAAACCATAGAGATCATTCGTGTAATTTGCCCTTAATCTTATTAAATAACACGTTTCATATAAATTATCAATCTTTCAAATCTAACTATGCACATTTAGGATTTAGGAGTGTTTGACATGTAACGTCTCAAAAATTACTAAGTAGAAATTTCATTTTAAGAACCAACAGAATCATCATTCATTCATTTCAAAACTCATCAACGTTGATCTCAACGAGGTTCATCGAGAAGATATCTTCCTTTATGTTCTAATGTGATATAATCACATTCTAGCGTGTAAGACTTCTAGTTATAGGCTGCTTGATCTCAACGACGGGTGCAATACATGTATCGATTGCTTCAATTATCTTTTCCTTCAATTTTTTAACTTAAGGAGGATGCTACACCAATCATGGCTCTCTAAACCAGGTAACTTACTCTGCAAACTTTTTCTTAAGTCAGACTCGATTCAATATGACAACTAGGGTCAGAATACATTCATCATTTTAGTCGTTACCGAAACGATGGTAACAATATACATGAACAAAACAAAATCAATTACTAATTCTTTAGTAACTTTGTGACTCATCCTTATTCAAGTATGAATCATGTGTTTCTGGTAGTATGGGCTCATACTACCTTCCACACCTACTCATACATGTCCCAAAATTTGTCTCGCAGTCCCAAAGTTCTTATTCCTGAAATCACAAAATAATTTAACACACACAAATGTGTCCAAGCAATCATAAAAAATTTCCTAGACTCCAGTAGGACTTCTTCCAAACGTATCTTTAATAGCAATTCTACTTCAACTCGGTTGATGGTGGAAACACCAGATGATGGGACGACTTTGGGAATCAAACCAAAAGTTCTACCGTCCCGCCAATCAAAGGTGTACTTCATATGAACCATATTATTATGTATTATAAAGGCAAGATACCAGTCTATAGGTTTTACATGTGATGTCTTCTGATAGGTATCATTCATTATCGTAAGCCCTCTAATCTCATACATTTGTTCACTCCACTATCAGTCTTTACCATGAGGCTCTATACACCAAAGCAAATGTTCGGTTTACTGAGACGAGAATATAGATAGGGAAGGTTTTGACGCATGATCCTCCTTATCACTTTGAACTAGTTATATGCCAATTCTAATACCGTAGTTAAACGTTTAGAAGCCTGAACATATAAATTTTCCTAATTCCAGGTCAGCAACAGACCTTAAACCTAATAGCAATTTTGATAGACAACCTAAGGTAGGTTATAATATAAATTATTGAGCACATAATAGCAATTAAGGCATGTTCCTAAAGTATTCTACTACTTGAAACATCCCAAAAATACGGTCCAAAAATTTTGCTTTTAAATCATTAATTAAACCATAGATATCACCATCATAATAAGTTCTAAACCATGTATCTCAAAAATGTCATATCAACTGTCAACATAACAAAATCTCGTGTCAAATATCAGAGTAAATATCCCAGGCTAGAAACGGTGGTGTGTGTCATGCGATAATCCTGAGCCCTTCCCTTTGCTAAAAGAGTACCTGAAACGAAAACTGAAAAATGTAAGCACGAATCTTAGTGATCTCCCTCAAACTACCACATACCATACACATAGAATATAACACAAACTATGGGACTTCACCTAACTGCATCGAGATGAACCTGACATCGGCTTACCTGGCACCGGACTCCTGCCTAGCATCGGGCTCACCACGGCATCGGGTTTGCCCCGACATCAGGCTTACCCCGGAATACACACAACATATCATATATCATAAACACATAACATAAGCATATAACACTCATCGAGCTTGCCCCGGCATCGGACCAAAGCCCAGAACACATAACATATACGCTAACATACATGTTGCCCCGACATCGGACCGAAGCCCGGAACACATAACACATAACATGTATGAATCATAAAGACATCAAGCATACATAAACACTTCTCGGGACCGCCTGGGCATCGGACCGAAGTCCGGAACACATACTCTACATCGGGCTAGCCCCGGCATCGGACTGAAGTCCAGCATACGCTGACATACATAAACGGGGCCGGTATTGGTGCCTTCGACCCGTTCTTACTTCAGGAAGACTCACCTCTCAAACTGGATGTTGAACTCGTACGTGAGGAATCTCTGTTGGCTGCTCCCACAACTCCTCGACTAACACTATACAATAATACTTAGTCAAAAGCTGAAAATCCTTCTAAGGGTAAAATGACCATTTTACCCCTGGTCAAAGTGAACGCTCTGGTCAAAGTCAACATTCTAGGTCGACCAACTCGCCGAATCAACCTTTCAACTCGTCGAGCTCTTTAACTCATATAACCTGAGATCACGACTCAATTCGCTGAGTCACTCCTCCGACTCATCGAGTCATATCGAACTGCTCATAATCGTGACTGGGCGAATCAACTCGTCGAGTCCCTCTACAGACACGTCGAGTTCTGTTCTAAACTAAAATGGGACAACACAACCCGACTCGTTAACTTCCCTTATGGACTCGATGAGTCCTTCTGTCTGATTTGGCCATCCTAACAGATTAAGTCCCTATTTTCTATATCCAAGGTCCATATTTCGTTTGTCCATTGGAATGATCTTTCTAAGGGTAATGTTTCCAACTTTACCCATTGATAACTCTTCTTGAATGGTTTAGGTAAAACCCTAATTACTTTAGGACATATATCTTGTCCAAAAAGCCTTAACCAAAGCATGAAAACCTAGATCAAGGGCCTAGATACCAGTTAACCACATAAAGACTCGATCTTGCTTCCATGCATAGCCTTTTAGGGCTAAAAAGGCCATATAAATGCTTAAAAGCTTGCATGAGGCTTCCATGGTCATAAAGTTTGAAACTTTATGCCATGGAACCCCTCTTAGAGCCCATATCTGAAATATAAGTCACTTCGGACGTCCAAATCCCAAAGACCAAGGTTCTAGAACCAAAATTGTCACACCCGTGAACCAGACTACAGAAACGTCCGAGGGCCCGCGTGACTTAATTGAAT